AACAATATTAAAACCCTATTTTCTTTGAAAACATTAAGTTTGTCGTGCCCACAGTCCTCAAATATAGCATAACTGATTTACCATCCCATCCTCCTATAGCTCGAATTTGTGCTAATGACATACCAGCCTCTATTGCTGCTGTTGCACCTTCTATCCTAATGCTATGAGCAGTGAATCTACCTTGAAGGCCTGCATTCCTTGCAATTCTCTTGACAATGGCACCTACTGCCCCTACTGACAACTGTGCCCTGCTTCTAGACAGGAAAAGTGGCCCATCATCTGATGTTCTTGGCCTAATCGCCAGGTATTTCCTTAACAGCCTGACTGGACAATATTTATATTCGAATATTCTATAGGAATAAATTTTCCATTGGCAAATTGATCTGTCTTGGACGAACTTATGCGAACCCAAAACAATTTTTCTCCAAACTTAATATCCTTATGCTTTAAACTACAAAGCTCACCAGGTCAGCGCATAGTTCTCAAACCAATAGCTATCAGTACAGCATCCTGTATCCAAAAATCCTCACTGATTAGCTGTGGTTTCTTGTCAACAAAAATCTTCAAGGCAGCTACTGTTAAAGGATCACGTGGCCAGTCCGGGTCTTTAGCCTTTCTATAACCCTTTAACAGTGCCTTATAAACCCTCTTAACTCTATATTTCTTGGAAGGATCTGCAAGCTAGGCCTCTAGGTGTGCCCTTGAAACTGCTGCTAGAACATCCATACAACCTGAAAACGACTGGGTTAAATCTAGCCAAACAATAAAGGATACTAATGTATCAACCTCAGCTAGAAGCGCCCTCAAATCCATAACTTCACAGAAATCCCTATACACATCTCACGCCTTGTCTAGCCGCTTATTCCAACTATTTGACACTGCTTTTCTACCCAAAGCCTGCGCTTTAGCCAACAGGATCCTTACTAACCTACTCTTGCTACCACAAACTGCCAACTCAGGTTTCTCCACGGTTCTACTTCTCCTGAAATCCCTTTGGTAAATGATACTTGGACTGGAGGCAGGAGCAACAAATCTATTGTCATATTCATTAATATTGGCCACCACTCCGCTAATACCCATCTTGGGACGATTATAGTTGCCACAGCCTTTTCTTCTCTTATGTGTTGAAGGATACGATGGATTAGAGCTAGTGGGGGACAAACATAATTGTTCTCTCTGGACCAGCTCTGAGTAAAGCAGTTTACTTCCTCTGAGTTTGGGCAATAAAACCTGCTGTTGAATTGCTCCATTTTGGTGTTCTGATTGTCTGCCATTCGATCGATAGTATGAGGACCCCACCTGTCTTCCAACATCATGAAAACTAACTGATTTAGACACCAATCATTTGGGTCTACATATCTGATTAGGAAGTCTGCCGGGTTTAACTCTGAGGGCACCCAAAAAACCTCGCTGATCCAAATGTAGAACTCATCCAACAACTCCCACAACCTTTTTAGTAAATCCTTTTGCCAAGGTAAGCTTCCCTCTTTTAAAACTGTTCCTATTGCTCCTCGATTGTCTATATGTAAGTCGATCTAGGAATGCTGGAGCATTCTTGCAAAGGACCTTATTCTCAGAATTACAGCCTCTGCCTCTAGCCTTGTGATCTCCCTGTGCGATCTTTTTGAACTCCAATTCCCAAATGCATGAA